GATGATAGTGCTCGTATTGCTTCATTTGCAAAGTACAGTAGGAAGAGAAGAGATTGATGTGAAGCAGCTTAAGTGCTGCACACATACAGGGGGAGGGGGTTTGACAAAGACATCCTCTTTCAAGGCGACATAAGTTACACTTTATTAAATTCTGATTGGACATTTCCACCACATATTCAACAGCATATTGTACATCACGATACTCCGCCACAGCCTTCTGGACGAGCGCCATCGAGAGATTCTGCCACGCGACCGTGATTGGGTGCCTGAGTTCAGCGAGGTCGTTGATTTCTCCGCCACTGTGGCCACCTTGTTGAGCTCCGCCCGCACCCGGTAATCGAGGGGGTTTACGCCAGGTGACAATACTCCGTCCAGGTTCTCAGCGCCCTTCCACTCCAAGTAGGCGAGAGTTTTTCCAACGCCCTTTGATTCCATGTGGTGACACCCAATCCTGTAGCAGTACGAAGTTTCCAAGATGGTACAGGCGAAGAGACGGGTTATTCTTCTCGAGCTTGCTCGAACCGCCAGCGCTCACCTTCAGTCCGGAGTCCACGAAGGAAATATCGGTCTTCCCATTCAGGAACTTCCGGTCCAATCCGCGTATTTCGTGATATGGGCATTGCCCATCTGAGAGCCGTGCGGCGCGTCCCCGTGCCGACTCTATTCTCTTAGACATAAGCCTCTTTTCCTCTTCCGTCTAAACTCTCGCAGCCATTGCTGCGACGCCCCGCAGAAACGCATTGCGTGTATCTCCCGGTAAGCAAAATGAAGTTCAGACGGCTCAATAATGGAGTGTCTCTTCGTGGGATATCTCTTAAACCCGCACACAAGAAGTTTCGCAGCTGTTTGGAGGTGATGTGAATTCCATAGGCCTTCTCCAGTCAGGCTGCGATTGGAGATGACTTCATATTTTGGTGTACATGAAGGTGATGGGCGAGAGCCTGCTCCTGCTTATCGAGGAACATCTTGGGTATCTTCCGCCCTGGTACTCGTATCCACGTCTTCTGTCTGGGCTGCGAAAACTTTACTGATATGTGACTCGCCGAAGTGTTTATTGCCCCCCCCCTCCCTGTATATGAGTAAATACATGCGTGCGGCCCTATCTACTGTAGCGCTTATTGGCACAATGCCAGCGGGAAACTCGTCCAAAACTAATTTCCAAGGGGTGTGGAACAAAGGCTTTTCGGGTTTTTTTTCTTGCAGGGCACGCGGGCGCCCAGTAGGCCATGCCAGCCTACCGGGGGCCCATGGGCTTAACATTCAAAGTGTTGCACGCGTCGTGGTAGTGCCTTTGCGCTTATCTCCTCTCTCTCTCGTTTCTCTGGTCACATCCTTGATTTTCTCATTAGTTCAGGGCTTCAAACTTATGTAATCTCGTCCATTTATCCTTAACACGTCGGCTACATTGTTGGGGCACTTCTGTCCCCCGTGCGGACATTACGTCGCTACCTGCTGGGATGCGGCAATGGTAAAAGACCAATGTGGAAGAGCCTTGATTTTCAACAACCAACTACTGTGCATGTGAGGCATTGTAGATATAAGGGGGCGCCAAACAAAAAAGCACTTCGGCCGCAGTCACATTATCAACGATTATTTGCGCAGCCCAGACAGGGAATGAATAATACCAGAGTGGAAGATACCCAAGATCTTCCTCTATAAGCTGGAGCAGTCTGCCGCCAATCGCCTTCATGTACGCCAAAATATGAAGTCATCTCCAGTCGGCCGAAGCGAGGAACACTTGGAATTCACGTCGCCTCCAAACAGCTGCGAAACTTCTTGAATGAAGTCATCCACAGATAGCTACCTGGAGGTCAGTACTCTTGATCTGCAAGACCTCCCACATCGAGCAGCTTCGTCAACTTCGCTACGGTCTAGGACATCATCTTCACCGTATTCGCCGAGGCGCGAGTTGATGGTATGGACCGGGGTACCTGGAAGGGAAAGACCGATATTTTCTTTGTAGACCCCGACTGAAGGTAGCTCTGCGTACATCAGAATCCGAAAGAATATTCTCCTAATGCCCCAAAAATTTATGTCCGCCCTTACTCTTCTCGGAACCTTGTGCTGCTACAGTTTGCCCGGATGCCACCACATGAATCAAAATGGAAAAACTCCCACCTATTCGAGTGGAAGGGCTATCCAACGTTTCTTACCTGCTGAATGTAAATTAATATTCCCCTGAGCTTATCCACTCAATACCTAGTCGGGCGACTCCAATGAGGCGTGGTCTACGATGCGGAGAAATCGATACCGCACTTATCTCATAACACACATCGCAGTCGCGTGCCAGAATCTCTCGATGGCGCTCCTCCAGAAGGCTGTGGCGGAGTATCATTATAGTATTTAATGTGCTCTTTAATATGGTAGTAAAAATGTCCGATAAAATTTAATAAAGTGTAACTTATAGCGCCTTGAAAGTCATGGAGGCAAAATGACTTTTTTGCCCCCCCGTTACATTAGCTGTAAACCGTGCAAGTCGTCATGAGAGCTTACCGGAGGACAAACAAATTATACTAAGGAAAAAAGGCAATTCTTGCTATATCGAACTGGCTCCACAGATAGCTAATGTGATAAGGTAACTTTCAACAATAGCAGATCTGAATCGAATCCAATTTACCACCTCTGGCGCGAAAATATTCCTTTTTTGCGACCTTTTCCCACGCTCGACGTGAATGAGTCCCCGTCGAGCATTCATAATTTCAGGGTTTACCTTGAAAGTAAACAAGAATAGCGAAGCCTTACTAGCTTCTGCAATGAATTCTGACCATTCTTCATTTTTTTGGCGTATAAACGCCCTAGCATTTATGCGCATTCTTCGAAAATAGGGAAAAACTGCTTTGTCCCACCGCAGAACACGCAAATGGCCTGTCGCCTAATTGTTTACCAGTGATCGCGATCAACTCGGAATTGAAGGCTTGTTGATGAGCGGACGTTTTCAAGTCTTCCATTTTTGGTTGAGCAGCAATGCTCCTGATAACTTTTAACTCTTAAGTTAAAATGTATGTCTTCCACAACACCATTTATGTGTATTACAGAATACGTCTAATCTCAAGAAAGCCGTGCACATCCTCCCTCATTCTCAGATCAAAATAATATCTTGCGTTATAGGGAACACTCGAATTTCACCAAGTCGTACTGGGAACTGAAGGCTCCTCAAATTGTTATGGTCAGTACATGAGAAGATGCTGCTTGGCTTCTGTAGATGGGAGATGTGGTCTACGCGCAGCCCCGCTGTCGAGTGAGTTGGGTCCTGGTGCGAATGCTGCGTTCGACAAGTTGGATTAACGCCTGTTTCGCCGCGACTGGGAAGCAACTCCTCCACACCCGGCAGCTTTGTCAAGCACTTTGAAGCCGACAACTGGGACATGCTCTGTAGACAGCGCCAAGTTGTGCCATAGAGGGTCCCTGCATGTCAGGTAATCGCGAACGTCTCTTTATCAGATTTCTTCTTACAGGCATTATTCGAAAACATCTCTTTATCAGATTTCTTCTTACAGGCATTATTCGAAAACATCTCAAAGACAATTTTGGAAGATTCACTGGTGGCATGATCGTTTTGCTACGCAGTGTGTAGTTTGTAACATCGCAACGAGTCGGAGGCGGCGATCGCAGCGCGGCATGAGCCCGCTTGCAGCTGCCTCACTCTACCAATGGCGATGGGGTAAAGATCGATTAGGAAGAAAACAAGCCAGTGGTGAAAAGGCGGCAGGTGGCGACCACTAATTGCGACGCGACTGTTTGCGATGATATCAGTTGGACGTACCTGTGTGGAATCCGAGACGGCAGACCACCCTCTGATCAGGCTTATGCGGAACACTGAACTCAGTCAGATACTGAAACTCTCGAGACTTTTGATTTTCAGAGTACTGGTTTTTAAGGGAGAAATATTTTATACCTTGTGAACGTCTATAGCTATGCCAGCGATTTCATTTATGTGCCGATGCCCATTCTCCTCCGGTACTCCAGAAACGACCATGTAAGCGTCTCCGATCGTTTCCACCTAGGTTGTGTATGCATTACAATTAAGACTTAGCGATCACATAGCCTTCCTGATTTCAAATTACGAAATTTCTTCAATTCTGTTTTTTTATTTTTCCTCGGAAACATTCTTTCCCCCTACAGCACGTACTTCGGGAGTTGCTATTGCGACATGAGTACTACAGTAGGAGGACGGCGAGAAGCTGCGAAAAAAAGTGATTTACAAGGGAAGAGTTTCAATTCCCATGGAACTTTGAATGGAGACCTAGGTACATCGATAGAGCCTCGAATGCTGATTACGAATATGCAGATTAAAAGTGCTACGGGGACCTCCCAGACGAGATCTGGGTGGTCAAAGTTTGCGAAAACTCGGTTTTGGCTCGTAAGCGCTGCTGATCGATCGTTGGGCAGTGCCACCGTGGCCTAGTGGTAACGGTCTCGCTTCAAAGCCAAGGGCTCACGGGTTTGCACCCCGTTGGCAGGAAAGCTTTTGTTTCCTCTTTTATCGATCTAGTATGGATTTGATTACATCTGTTGTTTC